GTTGTCATGCTCCCGTGACCTTATGCAACTGCTTCGAGTGTGTTCGCCGATGCGGAAATTCTGTTTAATAATATGAAAAAACGTATGGCGCACCTCTGTGAACACATACTACTGTTATATAAAGCCTGTGGAAAGTCTCTGTTCAAAGACACGCTGCAAAGCTGCGAGGCCACCTCAAGACTTTCACCATCGACTCCCACTGTCTGCTGTCATCGTGTCCTTGGCAAAACAACCAAGCGACCTCTGGGAACACCAGCCACAGTGGGGCGGCTGCGGCTGTAAAGTGCCAAACTGCCTGAATGTTCACTTCACCCTCATTCCCTAGAATGAGTTTGATGTGGACGGAGGGGCCTATGGCACAGACTGGTTGCCTCGCTTCTGTCAGTGTTCCCCAGGGCAGCTGTGGCTACAGTAGTAGTTTATCACCACCGTGTTTGGAGTGAATGAATAATGACACACGTCTTTGAGTGTCCAAAAAAAACCAATGCATTATTATTTTTGCACTAAATATGCAATTTCTATAACTTGAGATCCATATAGCACCAACTTCGATGACATTAGATGTTTCCCTTCACACATGACTCCATGTGACACATTAGGAACTCTGACTCACTTCAGAAATTCAAATCTCTTCTCAAAACCCACCTGCTCAAAAAAGCTTACACCCAACTGTTAATTTTAGCTTTTTTCTTCTGGAAAGCATCTTTCCAAAACGCTCCTAAAGGAAGCCGTCCTCAGACGAAAGAGTGGTCATTCCCCTTCTCTGACCCCAGTGCATCACCACCGCTTACCTTCACCGGGTCAGCAGCAGCGACCCGAGCCTGCTCCTCACGCCGCTCCAGCGTCCCCGAGCACACAGCGTGGGTTGCCCGGAGCTGAGAATCAACACCCCCGCTCCCCTCCATGTGTTCAGCAGCGCCCTGGTTCGGACTCATCCCTGGATGAGCCCGCTGGTTCTGGCCATGGACACCGAGCGCCCTCTCCGCGGCTACGTCCACTCTTCGCCCCGACTACTCTGATTGTTGGAGATTCCATCGTGAGACACGTCCGCTTTTTTAACGCGGTCACTCAGTGTTTTCCCGGAGCTACTGTGCCAGACCTGCTCATACGTCTCCCTCCTCTGCTTCAGTCCCTGCCTGATACCATTTCAAAGGTAATCGTGCATGTGGGGATCAACGACATGAAGCTGCAGCAGTCCGAGGTCACAAAGAAGCCTTTTATGGATCTATTCCGCCTCCTCCAGTCCTCCGGGTTGTGTGTTTTTATCTCTGGTCCAGTCCCGACTGTAAACCGGGGAGACTGCTTGTACAGTCGCGTAGTGGCGTTGAACATGTGGCTCCAGTCTGCATGTAGCTCGTTTAACTTTATTTTTATGAATAACTTTGGCCTTTTCTGGAAGCGTCACGTGGCTTATCGTCCAGACGGTCTGCACCCAAATAGATATGGCACCAGCTTGTTGACGGATTACCTACGCCACGTTATTCAGTGTTCCCCGAGGGGGGCGTGACTGTTTACATCGGAGCCCCCACCACCACCACCCTCCTCCTTCTTCTCCTGCTCACCAGCACCGGGTGAGTACTGTGGTGCAAACACTGACCCCTTTCCGTCTGGCAGTGAAATAACAGTCTCGCCTCTGAACCGTGCTGCCTCCTGCTCTAAACAACGAAGCAATGCCGTCCTGAATCCGGGACTTACACAGCAAAAGAGTTCACATGTTAGACAAATAGAAACTGTGTGTGTTCCTCGCATCAGTTTCAAAAAATGTTTTTATTTGAATGGAAAACAAAATCATAACAGAAGGACAGCAGTTAGACATTCAAATCTAATTCCTGCTCCTTGTAAAAATCAATTAACTAAACCCACTGTTACTGATATTAATTTTAAAATTGCTATGCTTAATGTCAGATCACTGTGCAACAAATCATTTTTAATTAATAATTTTATCCGTTCTTATGATCTTGATTTTATGTTTCTGACTGAAACTTGGCTTGACCAGAGTACAGGTAATGCGGTTTTAATAGAAGCAACGCCACCAAACTTCAAATTTGAATCTGAAATACGAGAAAATAAAAGGGGGGGAGGCATTGCTGCATTATTTAGAGATCGTATTATCTCTCATAGAATTCTCCTTGGAAATTTTCTATCATTTGAGTATATTTCTTTTAAAATAGAACAAAAACAATCTCCTTCTATTCTTATCATTGTCCTGTACAAGCCACCGCAGTCTTGTCACAATTTCTTTGATAATTTCACTGAGTTGCTTTCAGTTGTTTGCACCGATTTTGATAGTTTAGTGATTACAGGTGATTTTAATATTCATGTGGATAATGGCAATGACAAAAATGCAAAAGAGCTGAGTTCTGTACTTGAAACATTTGGTCTCACTCAGCACGTGAGTGGCCCCACCCACAGCAAAGGGCACACTCTAGACCTGCTGGTTACAAAGGGGGTTAATATTTTATATGTAAATGTGGTTGACGTGGCTCTGTCAGATCACTTCTGTGTATTTTTTGACATGTGTTTTGATAGTAAACAACCATATATATCTGAATCTGCAATTGTCAGACACAGACACATAAATGAAAACACAACCGAACTATTCATGGGAATGATAAACTTTGAGAACACATTGTGTTCTACTGTTGACGAATTGTTTAACTCTGTCACCGCCAATGTTATAAATGTTCTGGACATCATCGCTCCTGTGAAGGTTAAAATGATTACAAATAAGCCAAAGGCCCCCTGGACTAAAATGGACTCAGTCATGGTACAGAAGAGAGAGTGCCGTAGGGCCGAGCGGAAGTGGCGAAAATCCAATCTCCAGGTTGATCATGATATCTTCAAAAATGAGTTGTGCAAGTTTAACAGGGTGCTACGTAGAACAAGAGAAATTTATTTTTCTAAAACCATTGATGGCTGCAATAATAATCTACGACTTATGTTTTCAACAGTTAACGGATTAACAAACCCCCCTGTTCAGCTGCCATTCGAATTTGCTTCAGAATCTAAATGTAATGAGTTTGCACAATTTTTCAATGACAAGGTTCAGAGCATCAAAAACGCCATCACCTCCAAGGCAGAAATAACATTACAACAGCCGGTGAGGCTGTTTGAGCTATCGCACTTTGCACCAACAGATAATGAAACTGTCCAAGATGTTGTCTCTAGCCTTAGTTCCTCCACATGTAGCCTGGATGTACTACCCACTAAATTTTTTAAGTCTGTTTTGAGCAGTCTTTTACCTTTGCTCACACAAATAGTGAACATGTCTTTCTCATCTGGAACATTTCCAATGGCCCTGAAAACGGCAGTCATCAGACCCCTCCTAAAAAAGAGGAGTCTAGATGCCACAGTTCTTAAGAATTATCGCCCCATTTCAAATCTGCCGTTTATGGGAAAAATTCTGGAAAAAGTTGCTTACCAACAACTTACAGAATTCTTAGTAACTAATAGTTCGTTTGATGCGCTCCAGTCCGGCTTTAGAGCCAATCACAGCACTGAGACTGCACTAGTGAAGGTTACAAATGACATCCGACTTAACACCGACACAGGAAAAGTCACAGTTTTAGTAATGTTGGATCTGAGTGCTGCGTTCGACACAGTCGACCACGAGATCCTCATGCAGAGACTAGAGCACTGGGTGGGTGTCACTGGGACTGCCCTAAGTTGGTTTAGGTCTTACCTAGAAGACAGGAAATACTTGGTTCAGATAGGAAACTGTGTCTCAGATCATATGGCTCTGACCTGCGGAGTGCCACAGGGATCAATTCTGGGGCCTCTTCTGTTCAATATTTACATGCTGCCGTTAGGTCAGTTAATACGCTCCAACAATGTATCCTACCACAATTACGCTGATGACACTCAAATTTATGTCTCACTTACTGCAGGAGAACATGGACCAGTGGAATCACTCCTTCACTGTACTCAACAGATTAGTGATTGGATGCAAAATAACTTCCTTCAGCTAAACGCAGACAAAACAGAATTGATTGTCTTTGGTCCTCAGAAACAAAGAGAGAGCGTTATTCGTCACCTCCAGTCTCTCTCCCTGGAACCTGTAGGCAAGGTCAGAAACCTAGGAGTTATAATGGACTCAGACTTAAATTTTAACAGTCATATCAAATCAGTAACATCAGCAGCATTTTACCATCTGAAAAACATTGCCAAAATTAGAAACATAGTGTCTAAATCAGATCTGGAGATTCTCATCCATGCATTTGTCTCCAGTAGGTTAGACTACTGCAATGGCCTGCTCACAGGTCTCTCCAAACAGGCTGTAAAACAACTGCAGTATGTCCAAAATGCTGCAGCTCGAGTCCTGACCAGGACCAGGAAATATGACCACATTAGTCCAGTTCTCAGGTCTCTGCACTGGCTTCCTGTGGCTCAGAGAATAGACTTCAAAGCAGCACTGCTTGTGTACAAGTCTCTCCATGGCCTCGCACCAGGGTACTTAAGCGACTTGTTAGTCCCATATGAACCGGCCCGGACTCTGAGGAGCACAGGAGGTAGCCTCTTACTGGTTCCAAGAGTCAGAACTAAACATGGGGAGGCAGCGTTTGAGATTTATGGAGCTAAAATCTGGAACAATCTTCCTGAAGATGTGAGGCTAGCATCTACTCTGGCAATTTTTAAATCAGGGCTAAAAACTGTTCTTTTTAGCTGTGCATACGGCTGAAGGATTTTATTGATACATACTCTTTTTTTTTTTTTTTTAATGCATTGTGGTTATTTATTATTTTAATCCCGTGTGTGCTTTTAATATTTTTTTTTTTTTTTTTTTTTTTTTTTCATTACTTGTGATTTTATTCTGTTTTTAATGTATTTATTGATGTCTCTGATTTGTGTGATATTATGTGGGTTGTGAGGCGCTTTGAGTGGCCTTGTGTTGGAAAGGCGCCATACAAATAAAGTTGATTGATTGATTGATTGACTTTGAGTGTCCAGAAATTCTCTATAGAAGTACATATATCATTATTATTATTAGAATCTCCACTCACCTCTCTTGAAGACTATGCTGTCGTAAGGTATTTTGTTCCTCGTCTCCAGGCTGGAGCAGTTCCAGCGGTGTCCTCTGAACTGATGCTGGCACTCGTGGATGGCTATTTGAATCCCCTGAATCGCCGACGCCGTCACATCCGGATTTCTCATGCACACCTCGAGCTGGCGCCGAGTCAAACCAGGCAACGTCAGACAGACCGTGTTGGCGTTCAGAATGGGCTCTATGTTGGGAAGTTTCAAGCCCAAGATTTCGTTGGAAGCTACCCTGCAAGAAAGAGGGCATAAAGCTTTATTACTCACGCGACAAACAACATCGTAAATCAGTTTTCTTTCATGCTTTTGACACGTGTTGAAACAGAAGTCTAAACTATAGTGATGTTTCTTATTGTGAACATTCCCACAGTAATGAAAAAAAAACTGTTTGGATATTGGGAAAACCTCAGAAATGAATGAATAAATCAAACTCTGGTGTGTCACAGGTGAATGCAAGAAGAAGAAGAAGAAGAAGAAGAAAAAGCAGAAATTCTTGGACAAATATATGATTATTACCACTGTATGTACAATTCATACAGTGGAAGGATTTTAGAATGAATTGTTGGGCTTGAAAAGTTAAGAAATATTCATCATTTTGAATTTGGAGGAAAGTTTGTAGACATACCGGCAGACTTGTATCCCTTCCTGGCTTATAACCCTTTATATGCCAACATAGCAGAAACCAGGGCACTTTCTATACAACCATCTGTGTTTTAATGTATTTTTTTCTGTGATTGATTTTAGTAGTCCTCTGTCTCTTTTCATCTTTCAGGGCTCCACCTTTATCTCCTCAAGGGTCACCGTAAAATCAGTTTTCATATCGGAAAATCACTTTGAATTAATTGTCATTTTTCTTTTTTTTTTTTTCAACCCTAATCAAAATGCACAACATGATTTTGCTTGTTTTTCTGTTAAAACTGTCGGATTCAAGTTGGTTCCTCATTCTAATACATTGTATGGAAGATTACCTTTTCTCATATAGTACACATACTTGGATTGATCTTTACACATTCGGCCTCAAACAACAATACATGACAAAGTGGGAAAAAAAACTAGATCTTTCAAATCATTTAGGGGGCTTACTGTTGTTGACTTAGCGTGACTGTGCTGTGTAAATTGTTTAAAAGGGTGAGCGTATTGGCCCATGCACTCCTGAGCGTGTTGGCGCACATTCAACACGATCATAGCCTGTTCAAGAAAGGAACTTGTACTTCACTTATAAAAAGAAGAAAAAAAGAAAGAAAGAAAGAATAATTGCATAACACAATGAGACCAATGTTCAAACTGTATCTGTGGCTGCATGGGTAATTTTTGCAAATCCAAATCAAAAACATCCAAATTTTCCTGGACTTTTCTGCATAAAAATCATACACAGCTGCTTATACTTCCCCATATGTACAGTGCAAAAAGTGATGACAAAAAAGTAAACAATTGCAAAAATTTGGAAAGATGTATCTTTATCTGAGCACTTTTTTTGGCTGACAATGCAAAGTGATCTTGTTTTAAAAATATACAAGAAATCTCTCCTGTAGAAAAAGAAAATAAAGCAACAGTTTTGGAAATAAGACTGGCTTTGTCCCAGTGGAGTCTCTAGTTTTAACACAGTCAGAATGTGCTCAGATTCAGATTAAAAACCACTCTCTATTCAAGCAATTATCACCTCAAATTATATCATTGTTTGCTGTGTAGCGCTTTGTTGCGTGTGAGAGACCTTCTACAAAGCCAAAGCGCACACACATGTATCCCACAGTCCATCCAAGCGGCTGTGACAGAGATCCAGGTGTGCACCCAGCAATGTACAACAACACACACAGCTGCGGTGGATCTGCACCCGGGCTGCAGCCTTTCAACTTTACAAGACTTTATGCGCGCTTACCTGCCCTGTGATCTGACTTAAAAGAGCGGATTCAAAGTCGCATGCGTTTCAACTATTACACTGCCATTAAACCTCCATGTGTGTTTCAATGGATGAAGAAAGTTACAGTAGGAGCAGTGCATACATTTTTTTAATGTAGTCTGTTTTTTTTGTTTTTAAGTAATTATAAACAACCAATAGTTATTGTACAAGTGCAAAATATAGCAAGATCCCTCAAAGCCTTTCTCTATTCTTGCACATATATAGTGTGTTCAAAATGTGTATACAGATTTATCTACATACACATGCAAGTATATATACACTTTTTATTCTTTTTTTCTGTAGTATGGAGTTGGTACTCGCTTCTCTTGTGTTGTGTGCCGCTCATTATACTGCTCTGCAACACTGACATTTCCTCCACCGTAGGAGAGTCAAGGACAAGTGTGCACATAAGAAGCTAGTTTTTCTATAAATGCAGTCATTTGAATGCGATGTAGATATATAAAAATACATATACGTTGTTAATATATATTTTATATTATATTTGGTGTTAATTCAGATTGCTTTACTAAAATATTTCTATAACACCACTATAGTACATGCTTTCTACGTATATATCTGGCATCATTCGCGCGTCGCTTACCTCTGATCCAAAACTGAAACTGTCACCAACATCCACGTAATTGTGACCCACGAGAATTCCATGGTGCGCGTAAATCAAAACTCGTACAAGTCTTTGCAAAGTGTGTGAAAAAAGGGTGAAAAAGTGTCTGATATGGATCCTCAAAGCCGTGCGTAAAAGGCACAAACCAAGCGCGCGTCAAAAGCGGCAGGTGAGGTCGGTCTCAAAGTTGCCGCGGGAGACTTGACAGGTCCGCTCGTATACACCGCGTCCAGATGTGACGAAAAGGACAAAGTTTCTCTCATTCAAGAGAAGTTTCATCAAAAATCACTCAACTTACTCACGTGGAGAGGGGCGTACAGAAAGCTACACAAAAAGTTTTGGGTTTTTTTGTACCGAGGAAGCGCGATGTGTAGTGTATCTCCGCTGGATCACTGATGTTGGAAGAGTTACATCCGAAAAAAAGAGTGAGAGAAGAGTGAGACAAGCGGACAAGCCTCTCAGAATAAAGTCAGATTCACTTGTGTTTGCATAGTCCTCTAACTAGTGCACTTAGAGCTCTGCCAGCCCACTTTTTTGCGTCACTCAGTTGGAAAAGCACCGGGGGAGGTCAAGTGGCTGCTCATGTGGGACATGGATCTGAGAGAAGATAAAGGTAAGAGGAGACAGCTCTGCGCGTGTGTGTGTGTGTGTGGACACGTACACGGGACGAGGACGCGCGCTGCTATGGGACAGAACAGAGAGAATCAGTCCCGCATCCGTCATCAGACTGAGACATGAATGAAGTTTTGATGATAGAAGATTATGCAAATAACGTGCGTGCTTTAGGCTATATAGGGAGAAATCTAACCCACACTCTGCCCTTATGCAATGTGTAATTAGTGGAGTATGCAACCATCAGACTTTCTTTTGATTGTTCATGTTTATAAATGGTTTGAACACAGGCGTATGGAAGTATTGTCAAATACACAGGTCTAATTTGTTAAGACAATTATTAACTTAATTCAACATACTGCAATGATGTAGTCATTGTGTAGCCCTAAAGCAAGGAGAGAACTACCAGAACCGTCATTTTGACTGCTCCCAAACAAACGAATGTAATAAGCAATTCCCCACCAAAAATTTTGACTTTTTTCACCTGATTTATTCAAATAAAGTTAGTAAGTTTCTTTTTCCTTTTTTATTCAAGGTATATATGAGGATTTTCCCAAACTTTATGAAAGAACCACCTTCTCAGCTTTTTATACAAGCACGTATCAACAGAATGATTGACAATTGCGAGGTCCAATAGTCTTGATGATCCACGTGGACGTAGAAAATCCTCCTATAAACCTTTAACTGACTTGTAATAAGTGCTACACCCAATGAACACAACTTACTAAATGCAACATTTTGCAAGTAAACTGTGGGTTGCTATGGCAATCAGCAGTTGCTCTTCTCTGGTGGAAAACCTCACATTTTTTGAGTCTCTGATAGCAAATCGACAACTTTGCAGTCCTCCAGATGACAGCTGCATGGTGTGATGTAAGGCTTTACAGTTTTATTAACCTCCCACAGGCTACTTTGTGCTGCGTCAAATCACAAAGCCTGATAATAACTTAAAATTACGGACACTTTGAATAAACTTCTTTATTCTCCTTCACTTTGTTTTTTTTGCTTTAGCTTAAAATATGTAATGGTATGGTATAGAATTGTATTTTTTTTTTTTTTTTTTTACAGGGACAGGGTACTGTAAACATTAGCAAAGAGGAGAGATTTATTGTAGCAGGTTGTAGCAGCAGTGCTAATTTACAGCTGTCATGCCTGAGGAGATGTTGTAACAGATGGATGCATTACCAACATTATCAGACAGAAATTGCAATATTTACCAAAGAAGTTATAACAAAACCACCCAGCGAATACTTCTCACTCCCGCTGCTACTTTTACAACCACATTTTTTTCAACAAACGTAAAAAAACTCCTCTCAAATCATATCAAATAAAGGTTTAGGGCACGATTGGGTATTGCCATAACCTCTGTCTGTGTGTGTGTGTGTGTGTGTGTGTGTGTGTGTGTGTGTGTGTGTGTGTGTGTGTGTGTGTGTGTGTGTGTGTGTGTGTGTGTGTGTGTGTGTGTGTGTGTGCACTTGTTTTCAACTCCTGGTGGGTTCCATAACCTGAGATTCCGCTCACGTCATGGGGACTGGTTTTACGTGGTGGGGCCCGAACACCGGACCCCACTGGTCCAAGCTTAATAATCAATGGGTAATGCTTTTCTAACGGTCCTTATGCAGTCTCTGTAAAAATATGGAAAGGAACCCTGGAGGTTTACTTTCCTGAAAAAAGTGTGTTATGTGTCGGAACCCTGGTGGTGGGTTGCGGGATATCAAGGAGGGGCACACTGGGGCAATTTCAGTCCAGCAGGCTGGAGCCAATCATGGAGCAGCACAACAGAGGAAATCAGGTGTCAGGCTAGAAAAAGGTGCAAGTGTGTGGTTCATTAGGCTGCAAGAAATCATGGAGGAGCACACTGAAGCGCACGCTTACAAACCACTGGTAAGTGCTGACTACAAGTCATGACTTCAAATTGTTATATAGAATGATTACAAATTATTTGTTGTTTGTGCAGCTTAGTCAAGAGTCCCTAATTGATGAAGTCGACTCAGATTCTGACGATTTAACTGTCAAGAAGAAACCTGTAAAAAAGTATGGAAAAAGAAAAATCAAAAACACTTTTCTTCAAGACTCGGAAAGTGACGAACCAAAGGCAAATAAGATTGTTATCATGCAGCTGCAAAAGAAGAAAAATGGGGGGCGAGTTTATAGCAAGAGACACTTCTGCCTCTACTGTTCAATATCCTGCCACAAAATGTCCCGTCATTTGACTAGAAAACATGGAAATGAAAGTGACGTAGCCAGAGCATTGGCTCTACCTGTGAAATCTAAAGCACGTAAACTTCAGTTTGATTTGATCAGGAATAGTGGAAACCGTGAGCACAATTTTGAGGTTTTAAAGGCCGGCATTGGAACTTTAGTCCCAGCTAAACAGCCAAATTCCCCAGTTAAATCCAGTGAGTTTTTGCACTGTATAGACTGTGGGGCATTGCTTAAGCGAAAGTCGCTGTGGAGGCATGTGGCCAGGTGCCGGCTTTCACAGAAAGATGCCCAGGCTAAACCAGGTAGAAGTAGGGTCCAGTCCCTCTGCTCCCTAGCCCAGCCTGTACCGGAGGGCATCAGCAAAAAGCTGTGGTCTTTAATTTTGGCAATGCATCAGGATGAGGTCACGGGTGTTGTCAAAGCAGAAAAGGGGATTCTGAGACTCGGAGAGCACCTGTACTTAAAACACGGGCATGATAAGACTAAGCATGATTACATTAGGCAGAAAATGAGAGAAGTCGGTAGGTTAATTAACGAAGCAAAAACTGCAGGGAAACTGAAAACAATTAAGGATTTCTTTATTCCTTCCAACTTTAACCATGTGATTGATGCAGTCAGGTCTGTGGCTGGATATGATGAGGAAACAAATCAATACAAGACTCCATCCTTGGCCCTCAAACTCGGCCATAGCCTCAGAAAGCTAGCAGATATTCTTGAATGTGACTCAAAAATGGAGCATTGTGTTGATGAACTATTTATTAAAAACCTCCAACGAAGCCGGCTGCTTTTTGAGAAGAGGTGGGACGTCTGTGTTTCTTCTGCTGCCCTACAGACCCTCCGGCAAGCCAAGTGGAACACTCCTGACCTGCTCCCTCTGACTGAGGACGTTAGAGCCATGCATGCACATATTGAGGTATGTCGACCTGAATATGTGCAAACCCTAATAAGTGAGCCAACGTCTAAGCATTGGTCTAAACTGGCAGTTTTGACTCTTTGTGAGGTCATTATTTTCAATCGAAGAAGGGAAGGTGAGGTTTCAAAGATGCCACTGACAGCCTTTACCTTAAGAAGTAAGACTGGGATCCATTCTGACATTGCTCTGGGACTGTCCCAACTTGAGAAAAAGCTGTGTCAGCATTTTCAACGCATTGAAATTAAAGGGAAAAGAAGTCGGAAAGTGCCGGTTCTTTTGACTCCTGAAATGATTGCTTCGATGGAGGTGCTGGTGGAGAACAGAAGGGCCTGTTCCATCTCTGACCATAACCCATACTTCTTTTCCCACCCGGGCACAGACACCCACATCAGGGGATCAGACTCCCTACGCCAGGTAGCCAAAGAATGTGGTGCGGTGCATCCAGAGATGCTATCCTCAACCAAACTTAGAAAGCACATAGCTACTATGTCTACAGTTCTCAATATGAAAGAGAATGAGATGGACATACTTGCCAACTTCCTCGGCCATGACATTCGCATCCACAGGCAATATTACAGACTACCAGAGGGGACACTGGAGCTGGCCAAAATCAGCAAAGTGTTGATGGCCATGGAGCAGGGAAGAGTGACGGAATTCGAAGGAAAGAGCCTCGACCAGATACAAATTGAGCCTGAAGGTAATTCTTGATATTATTAAAATATGTATGATTTTTTTCCCCTAAAGGCCACTTGTATTTTTATTTTCTGTGCGACAGGGAGAGCAGTAGAGATCCTCTCACAAACGGACGGGCTAAAAGAAACTTCAAGCGGAGAACCTTCAACCATTCATCCAGATGCACCCCATGGTAGTGGCAGTGCCCCTTCTGGTAAGTGTACCAGGTGGGGGATTACAGCCAGGCTGCTTGGTCCTAACCCTGGGAGTGTATATTGCTAATATATTTTTATTTCTCTCCCTAGAACGTGTAAGAAAGCCATGGTCTGCATCTGAGGTGAAGGCTGTGGAGAAGACCATGACACCTTTCATACAGACTGGAAAGGTCCCTGGGAAGTCTCACTGCCTGGCCTGCATTAATGCCTCACCAGATGACCTTAGACATCGGACATGGAGTGGCATTAAATTCTATGTCAAAAATAGAATCACTGCAATTCGAAAAAAAAATCTAAAATAAAATTCCTTTAAAATAGTTGTTTGGTTTCTATTGACTGTTTTGTATTACTTAAAGTAGTCCCAGTAAAAAAAGATTATGTCTATGGGTCCCATTCTGAACGGCCCTGTCAAAGGGACCCACCAGGT